ATTGTGAGTAGGATGGTAATTGGGCCACCTGAACCCAAGCAGGTCAGTAGGCCACATTTTGAGGGGATTTCTTAACTTAGGTCTGACCCAATTAAATTTGACCTTGGGCCAGGTCTAGGCATGCCAGTTAGGGTTGACGGCGCCACTTTTGGAAAAGTGCGCGCCGGAGGGCGCCTCCAAAACTGCCAGCGATGCGCGCCTTTGGCAGGCACATTGGAGGCGCGCCAGGGGCGCCATTTTCCGCAGTAAAAAACAGGTACATATCGTCTATTTTCCATGTTTTTTAATTTTTAATTTTTTTTTTTTCAACCTAAATTTTTTACCACAGCAAAGTCTGACTTTGCTTTATCGGGTAGCCACAATCGGTGGGTGCCATGCGGCACTTCACACTATTCGGGGGTTGAACCGGGTTCTCGGGGGCCAAAAAGTAAGTTCAACCACCAAGAAACCCAAAAAAATACAGCTTTTATGGGCAGTTGGTGGATGACTCCCCCCGAAAAAGTTAGGGTTAGAAGTGCGCGCCACCCCCCCTTTTTCCAGATTTCATGCGCGCCGAGGGGGCGCGTGCGCGGCGCCCGCACATCGGCGCGCCTCAGGTAGCGCGCCGTCAACCCTAATGCCAGTGCAGCTGGGTGCGGAGTTGCGGACCCCGGTGCTTGCTGCTTGGTCAGGTCCAATACAGACCTATCCCAATGAGTCTGACCTTATATTTTGCCAAGACCCCACCATGGTTTCAGGGAGCCCTTGGGCAGCCTGCTTTGGCCCCAGGGTAGCACAGATACCCTCCTGAATGGAACCAATGGTGGCCCAATGGCTAATTGGGTTTGGGTTGGGCTGCTGGTTTCCTGAATGAGACCTGGCTTGGCCCAACCACGGGCAGGCTCACAATTACCATCCTTAATTGTGAGGCCTCATCTTCTGCTGTGCACCCCCAAAATATTTGCCATGATCATTTATGACAATCATGGAGAGCCAAACAAAGCCTAAATATTTTTACCCAATTATTTTCTCATGATGAGATTTCCCAAATGTGGTTGACATTATTGGACTGCAAAACAACATCCTCTGTGTGTGGGTCTCTGAACCCAGATAACAGATTTGGGTACCGGGCCCAGCTGTTAATTTGGGAGTTGCTTGTCTAGAACACCCTAGAGGAGGTTTGGCAGTTGGAACTCCAATAGGCCAGTTCACAAATAAAATTTCTGTGACAAGCAACACTTAACAACATCTTGCTTAAAGATTTGGTGAAGTCCCACGTACAACATAAGCAAACAGTTGAAGCAACAAGCAGTGTGACTTTTCAGACTTGTCAATAAAAACGCCCTACATAAACTGGGCTAATAGCCCGACTTTTTTCTTTGGAGGGCTACTCCCAACTGAGGAGGAATCCTCCTTGGTGGGGGTAAGACCTACTGACCGGTAGGTTGTGCCATCTGTACCTACCGGCTAAGAGAGAGATAAGCAAATAGATTAATGTGTATAAGATTTAGCCAAGAGCGGCGAACAAGGTAGAAAAGAAACAGGTAAAGGTAGGAGTCGCTACCCGGGTTGGCTATTCCGGTAGCTCCGGACTTCACACTACATAGCTATACGCAAAACATGTCGATGAACTTCATGTTCTGCAGTCATGACACCCTCAAGATCTAATGCACCCCCGCAGTACCATAAATATTGGCAACCCTCATGTTATTTTCACCCTGGCAGAATCAGAGCAGACTGAGTCATATAATTTCACACAGTCTGGATGGATTTATAACTTGTAGCATCTCTAATACTATGATCACAAAGAAGAAAGCATGATCGTTTGATTTCTGTCGACCATGTGATTACCCCCACGTTGGATGTTCATGGGTCTAAAAATTTACACGTGGTTGTATAGAATGGCAGGGTTAAAGATCATTTTGGTTCCCGAGATAGGTGGCCAGTTGAGAAAGGTCGAGTCAAGACAAGCGGTTATAAGAAGTACAAAATCAATCAAATCATCAGTTCCTGTTTGAACTCCAGACCCAGAGATGGCGGAAGGAAATGACTTACCCAAAGAGACTGGGAATTTACCAGCCTCGCGTTGCTCGTCCCAACGAGCGATCCAGCGGTCTGAAGTAGATTTGAACAAGGAGGGCACCAGGAAGGATATTTGGCAATCAGAGGTGATGAACTTTGGCATCTGGTTTGACAAGACTCACTTGGACATAAAGAGTTGTAGGTACGGTAGAAATGGCGAGAAGCTTCGTGCTCGGGCCCATGGAGGTTTTTGCACTTGTGATAATCAACCTAAATGGGCCGGTTGTTCAATGATTGCTTCGATTAGGAAGTCCGGGTAAATTGATATGGAGAATGAAATATACTTACATAAGCTTGCCAACAATGTTTTGTTTGCTATAGAAAGTTACGCAATGAGATCAGTAAGAGTACTCCGGTTACGTCACACCAATTTCCTTGAGTGCCCGTTTCCATCGACTTACATTCGTATTAGGGAATCGGGCATCGAAACCTGCAGTCTGATAACCGAGTTCAAAGATGCCAGGGTTTCAATTCAAGCAAGATATTAGAGATTGAGGTGAATGGTAAAAAAAAACAGATCAAAGGGGGAACTTACTTGTAAGATGAACGTCTGCTTCACCTCTTCAACCTCGGCCTGTAAAGAAAGCTGCTCAGTTTCCATCTGTACTGATTGAGCTGGATTGAGTATTGCGCAGGAGTTTGTGGACCCACGTTCTGGTTGGAGGATGCTTCTTCACTCGACATGGCTGAGAGGGCTCGGTTGGTTGGTGTGCTAGTCTTGGGTTGGGTTCTTGGATCGGGTGTGGATGGCGAGTGGTGAGTGGTCTTGCGTCGGAACAGGCGAGTGCTCGGGTGGATGGCCCGAGGTTTCACGCACCTGTTCATCAGTGGCATGTCACAGGCTCAAGTTGACGAAAGCCCCTCACCCGGCCTCCACCGACCTGCCGCAGTCGCAAGATTCCCACAGCTCAACAAAATCATCGATTGCTCACAACAGGTTCAAGGAAACTTCAAAGAAACGATCGACGGATACTCCGATAATAAATCATGTCAGGCGATCAACCACTCCTATGGCTGCGATGCGAGACCAAAGTGAGTAGTTGACATTTTCTGATTTTACATTCTACCAACGATGTGATGTGTGTTGACTAAAGATACTTGGGGTTGATTTCTGCCTCTTGACTCTGTGCAGCCGTTCGAGCATCGCTCAGCATTAACTCCCTTGACCGCCAAAAAACTCATCGATGCTGGATTCAAGCTGGTAGTAGAACGGGATCCTCAACGGTTCTTCGCTGATGACGAATTTGCAAAGTAAGCCAACTATTTGAGAGAGGGACAAGTAGCCGGGAAGTACGCTAATCCTCTGCTTGCCAAATTTGGTACGAACTTGAATCAATAAGAGTCGGATGTGAACTGGTCGAACACAACTCGTGGCCCAAGGCTCCCTCCAATGCAATTATCATCGGATTGAAGGAGTTGCCTCCGAATGATGATTCGCCCCTCATCCATACCCATGTCATGTTCGGCCATTGTTACAAGCAACAAGCAGGCTACCAGGACATCCTAAGTCGATTCAAACGAGGCGGGGGAACTTTGCTCGACATGGAATTCTTGCAGGACGAGCACACCAAACGCAGAGTGGCTGCCTTTGGCTTCCACGCCGGATTCAATGGCTCTGCTGTCGGTCTACTTGCGCTTGGGTCGATGTTATCCGGGGAGGGAAGTTTGAAAGGATTGAAGCCTTTCAAAGATGAAGACGAATTGATTACTCGAGGGAAGAAAGAATTCGATCGAGTGGTCGCCAAGCTAGGTCGACATCCTAAGGCCCTAGTGATTGGTTCATTGGGACGCTGTGGCTCCGGAGCTGTTACATTTTTCAAGAAAATTGGATTGAACAAGTTAGTCCTCTTCCCCACTTCTCATCCTCACCACCACTGGGTAAAAGTCACTAGGATTATGAGCTTACTGGCTATCTTTTTTTTTACAATATAACAGGGATGACGTCGTTGAATGGGACATGGCAGAGACTGCCAAAGGTGGCCCATTCCAAGAAATTCTTGAAGGTAAATGCATTCACCACCCCTAGCACATAGCCATTTCTTCGTCTGACTTCAATTCGTTCCTAAATCCAGCCGATATCTTCATCAATTGCATCTACTTGAGTAGCAAAATCCCCAGCTTTGTCACCCGGGAGACAATAGCCGCAGCAGGAGATTCTCGCCAGCTGAGGGTTGTAGTCGATGTGTCCTGTGATACCACCAATCCGAACAATCCTATTCCGATATATGACGTCAACACTACATTCGATTCTCCAACCGTGCCTGTCCAGCTAGAGTGAGTAATCGATCACACCCTATCACAATTCCTCATATTATGTTAAACCAACAAAATCCATCATTCCTGAACTCCTAAAATTAACAAACTTTTCATTTTTCCGGTCAAAGTGCTGGACTGCCAAGCTTAGAAGTTTGCTCGATAGATCATCTGCCAACACTTCTGCCCAGAGAAGCCTCCGAACAATTTTCGAACGATCTCCTTCCTACGCTTTTGCAATTAAAAACGTTGGATCAATCTAAAGTTTGGACTGAAGCAAGGGATTTGTTTCACAAGATGGTCAATTCCATCTAGAGCTTATTTGATCATTGCTATTTCCTCGTTTGGCCATGTGCATACCATCATTGTCCATACTCTTGATTCTAATCTAAGATCTATACCAAGTGCAAATGGCAATTCATGTTTTCCTGGTTGGAACTCGCAATATGATCAACTTTGGTAACCTGTTCAGCAGGTCTCAAAGCCTGGTCTATCCTGTTGAGGCTGTAGCATGTAGGCAAAGTGCTATACCAAGAGACAATGATTGCAGCTGTAATGGGCATTGGCTGATGTAGGTATGCTGAGATCAGACACTGCTTGAGACACATTGCTTTACTAATTCATCATGATACAAACTATGTAGATTCCACAGTAGATCAGAAAAGGAAAGACATCTCCAAGCAAAGTATTAAGGTGTGCCCAAGGCAGCCAGGTCTGCCTTGATATGTAGTGACTCAGCCAGCTCAAGACACTCATCAGATTTTGGGTCGAGCCATGGTCTGAAATTTGAATGTGTATCAGGGGTTGCAGCAACTCTCTGGACATTTGTAGTACCATTTGAATTTGATGGCTCTCACCCAGACACTGTTTATGTGGTGTAGAATCTGGGTAGATGTGTGTGATGAGTTTGTCTGATTCTACGTTCTACGTGTTCCTCTTCTTCTGATATCTCTCCTATCAACAAACCGTGTCGGAAGGTGCTGTGATCTCTTACAACACAGTGAGCTTGATCAGGGTTTTTGAACTTCCACCACAGCCAACCACTCTCTCAGACTGATAGGCAACTTCAGTCTTCCAGAGGAGGATATGAATATATGCAGACATCATCCACCTTTAATTAGAGATTTGATTTCTTCTGCCTTCGCCACCGCCCAAGACAGAACCGGACAGAACACATGTTAATCACTTTGATACTACAGATATTTGAGTACAACTATTAATAGTGCCCGATCGGGGTTTGTTCCAGTTGATCAAAGAAGACTCCACTATCCAACCACAATCAGAAATCCCGATTCGCATTCAAGGCTGGCGTAGCTTGTACGCCATTACTGGGTATTCAAATAGTAAATAAACCTGTGAGACGGGTGGACCAGTTCAGTCTCCTTTCTATAGAATTCCCCCCAGTCTTTCTGTTGTAACCAGATCCCAAGGTCCAAGAGCCTCTCATTACTAGAGCGTAGCGACTAATAAACATAACCTATACCAGATTCTCGGAAGCGAGCCAATTTACGACAGATTTCTTTCGGCGAACGACTCAAGCTTCTATCAAGCCATGAGCTCCAGCAACCACACTGGGATTTACGGTGGTTCAGATGACCCGTTCGTAGATGGTCGTTTCATCTACACATACATGCGCTTCTCAGTCTTGTTTTACTCAATCCTTGCTTTCTTTCCTCATCTTTAGCTGCATTCTGGGTTACACGAACGGCACATATCCTAATGGTACCTTGGGTCAAGGGAACTGGCGCAGATATGGTCAGTCAACAGAGAACCCTTCTGACAGCTTTAATTTTCGCCTCAAAGGAACACAGCTGAAAATGGGTCAACTCCTTTCATGTAGGCGTTTACATGCCCTCAGCGCTGAAAAGCAGCATGCCAAGCGCCAATGATCCGTGGGTATGGACCCAATACTATGGCTGGTGGACGACCTACTTTATCTTGTTTGGCGTGGTGACGGTCTCGTTGGTTAATGGTATCAAACGATTGCATAACTTGAACCGGTAAGCACCACCGAACGATTCACACTTGATCGACGCAATCAATCTCATAGGTTTTCGTGTTCGATCAAGCATCATGGGCCTTCCAAGTGTGATCTACCATCATCCGAAAATTTCAGCCCTCTTCAGGATGGGGAGTTATCCTCAACTGAAAGCATTTCGGATACATCTTCCTCCACTTGGACCTTCTATCTTCCTGTTTGGCTTCCTAACCTATAGCACTCTGGTATGTTTCTTGCGAAGACCGTACTACCGACCACCGCATTATGGTGGATCACCTTTGTGAGTGAAACCTTTTTTTTTTGAAACATCGTTCCATGCATTGATTGCCATCTCGGAATTCCATAAAACGAACTCAAAAACAGAGGAATCAGAGCAGAATGGGTCGCTACCGCGATGGCACCTTGGTTGTATGCTACGGCCACAAAGAGAAACTTTCTGGTATATGTTACTGGTGAGTTACCTGTTCATTGGGAACATATTCCGGTAGCCCAGCTTTTTCAAAAAAGGGGGAAAACAGAAAACAGAATTGCTCTTCCATCAGTTCTGACTGCCTCATTACCTTGTGATAATCAGGCGTCAGTTTCAAAAGGATCATGGATTTCCACAAATGGGCACCGTGGATTTGTTTATATATGTCCATTCTTCACACGTGGACCATGATTATCAGGATCGAACGTCAGCAACCATGGCATTACACCATCACCCACAATAAACTGTACTGGAATGGATTCCCGCCCCTCCTTGCATTGGGGTGGCTATGTGTCATGAGCTTAGGTCCAATCAGGTTTCTAATTTTCTTTCTCATAACAAGTTTACCTCATAAAGCTTTTATCGATTCTAATGGCCTGCTTGCTTTAATTCCACACGCAGAGCAAGATTCTATGAAAGTTTCTTTATTTTTCACATGATTGCTGCGTTCAGTAAGCTTTTTTTACTTTTCAGCACCCGCGTTCATGGTCTGCAGAGGCCCCAAGCTCATCTATTGATTGTGTTACAACTCTCTCAAAAACAGTTTTTCTCGTCTGGATGTACATTCACTTGGAAAACGTTTTGGAATCTTGGCAATACAGTTGGGTTTTTTTATTATATTTTAATTCGACAGATTCAGCGTGAAGTTGTTATTGATAAATCCAGGATATGTACCGTTCATGATACAGTGCATGCTGCGACCGTCCTCTGGGCAGCAGGGATATTATGGCGATTACTAGCGTACACTTTGGATCACGGATGGTTCAGTCGAGTTCCGCGTGCCACGATCGAAGCCCTCCCATCGAACGCGGTCAGAATTCGAATTCCGGTGCCTAGTTCGCGCGTCTGGAGTGCAGGCTCTTATGTTTATCTTCGCTTTCCAAGCATCAAGCCTTGGCAATCACATCCTTTCACCATCTCATCGCTTCCGACTCCATCTCAGAATGGAGACGAAGGAAACGAGATGGTATTCGTACTCCGTCCTCGTGAGGGCTTGACTGCCCGTTTGAAAACTCTGGCCAACATGCCCACATTACCAGCAATCCGATCTTGTTTGATCGATGGGCCTTATGGAGGTTTCATGGACTCTCTGCGAGCTTGCGACACGGTCTTACTGGTAGCCGGGGGTACAGGCATGGCAGCACTGATTTCAATCGCTCAAAGCCTACAGCGATGCGGATCTGCAAAAGGAATGTCGTGCTGCACTGCTTTAGAAGTCCATTGGGCTGTCAGAGATTCGGTGTGTCTCGAATGGTTCCGTGAACAGTTAAACGAAATCGATAACGTGAAGGTATATGTCACTAATGAGGCCCAGCCGGAAGAAGCCAACCAAGCTAAGATGGAAACCAAAGAACAGGAGAAGGACCCGTTAGAAATTCGAGAGCAGGAAAAGAAAAATACCTCTACCCCGTCTCTGCAATCTCAGACTCGCTACTGTCGACCCAATCTCCCTGAAATCATCCAAGAGGCCGCTGCACGGTATCCAGGGCGTATTGGGGTAATGGGTGAGTTGATCTTCTTCAACCTTTTGTTTTCTCAGATTTTTCACTTTTGGATCAAGTTACCAAATTTTATTGATGACTTCATCGAATCATTCATTCATCCCTTCTCTGTGGTCGAAATGAATTCAGTTTGTGGGCCAAGCTCCTTGGTCACTGAAGTCAGAAACTCAGTTGCCAAACTTCAAAAATCAATCCTCTTCTCAGACGAAAACGTCAAATGTAATGAATTGGAGCTCTATCAAGAGTCCTTCGAAGACTAGATCAGAAAAGAAAAAAAAATAAAGAAAGCATGAATGAATGAAAAAAGACTATCAAACTGCTGTTTGTATTTTTACTTATCTGAAAAGTTCTTCTTCTGGTCGGATGTTGTTTGGTTTTTCTACTTTTGTTTTGTTTTGTTCCTGGTGGAGAAAATGAATACTTTTTATGGTTCAATTTTTTTTTCTTCTTCTTCCAAATGATTGATCAACATCGGTTCAATATTTAGTCTTAACCTGTTGGGCACTTAAGTCTCAGTACTAGTAATCCGCTGGTAATTTGTATACAAACCATACATACCAACAAGACCCTTGATCTCAAGAAATTCATTCAGCATATAAACAAGGGATACTCATGGACTCAAACATGTCCTCTAATTTAAGTTTGAGATCACAGTCCTGCATCAATTTCCATTTACCATCTCCTTTTCCCATGCCCAACAGCTACAACTTATACAAGCTCATTCATATTATTCAAGGTTTCCAGGATTTTTGCTGTTCTTATTTTATCTTGAAGTGTCATTCAATGACATAACTGATTCTTGGGAGCAGTCATATTCCGTAAGGTGTCTTGGGTTCACTGCTGACATACTTGAAGGGTAATTCACCTCTTAATCATGTTTTCTTGCTCAACTTCTTGTTATTTGGTTTCAATTCAATGTTGACTGACTTCTGAAGCCTTTTATTGGACTTTTGAGATTGTGTTACTCTCATGCGTCTTCAATGACTTTGACCAACAGCACCTGCTCTTGTTGTTGCTTTGCCATTTCTCTATGTGTGAGCTTCTTAATTGCAGGTTGATGCAGATGCACTCCAGCACTGGCAGTCGCTTAATCGCGTGTCCGGTTGGCGGATCGGGGCGGGTTATCCTGTCACATGCATGATATGCATAATGCAGGACAATGTGGAATCTCAAGCCCAGTCCCGAGGGGGAAGAGGCGGCACCCCCGATCATTGCACATCGCCGTACGAAATCCGGATCATCAGGCCGTTGCTTGCCTCGTAGACGTTACGTTGGACATCAAGAGTGAAGAAGGATGCCTCCCAAAACGCGGTAAGTTCCATGTCACAGCAACAATTGATAAGACAGTGGTTGATCGCGGCAAATCCAATAGGACGGTGTTAGTCAAGTTGGTCTCAACTGCTGGTAAGTCCTACGCTTCTGGTCCTCCTCACGATTACACAAAGGAGGCTCAACGGCTGTCCACAGGTACCGGGTTTTTCTACACGACCACGAAAGTTAGGACGGCCGAACGGAAGATCGCCCGGATGAAATACGACCCGCGAGGTGTGAACTCATCCTCTCATCGAGTCTTGTTCACGATCTTGATGTCGATATTGACCGCATTTCTTCTCATTCGTTGCCCCATAAACCGGCCAAAATCTGTAACCTGACAGTCAATAAGCATGTTTTGTTCACCGAGCAGAAAATCAAATAACCGCATAAATGATGCAAATCCCCTCGGTTAGCAGTACAAGATCTGATGGAACCGGGAAACAATGCGAAGTTAAAGACTGTCAAGTGCTCGGGACAACGAACTCAGAGGGGGTGAATCTCGGATTCTTTGACTCTAGAGCAATCCTGCCGGGTAAGAACCGACCGACGAGAGATTAATCCTACCCCTCTGCTGAAACCTTGTCAAAGAACTATGTAGTCCCTCCAGCAGTATCCCTGAACCCCGCTTTGCAAAGCATTCTCCTGTTTCCATTTACGATTCCCCATGTCAAAGCTTATACTTGTAATATCAGCCATTCTCTTCGCTCAAATCATCTTCTCACTTTCGCTAAACGACTGGGTATTAGCAGCTTACGACAATCGCTTCTACCCGGAAATATGTCCAATCAATCGTGCCCGCCAAAAGAAGTCTAATGAGAAGGAGTGGTCACTTGATGACAGATGTGGCTTGGAATGAATGACTCCTCTCCAGATTCTTATCTCCCAAAAGACCGGCACCAAGAGCCCGAACCGACCGATAGGTACATGCCCTTGACATCAAGAAGAAACAAATTCACCTGTAATAGTGAACGTGCCGGCGTGGATGATCAGCTATTTTTTGCCAGCATACTCCAAGAAAACAAGAGGCGAAACCCTCTTGATAAGCTCTCCAACAGCACTGCCCAACCTAATGACGAATTTTTGCTTAAGTATCAAACTGCAGGGTCTATCCACTCGTTTGAAGAAACCATAGCCATTCCTCAAAGTCAAACCAAAGATCTTAAGCCAATGTGAATGGGGGTTGAAATTTCAAATATCTTGTTTTATGGCAGAGCTGCAGCAGCAAAACCATCCCTAATGCCCAGCATTTACACAAAGCCATCTTGGTTCATGTCCAAATGTGTCATGGTAAACTACGAACCTTACATAAACTGCATCACCTGTCCAAAGAAGATAACCCAGCCAGACCCGGTTCAATTGCGGTAAGTAAAACTGCAAGTTGAGTTTTGTCATTGGTCACAATTCATCATTATGGGTCCTTTGGAGACAGAGATCCGTTGTCAGTAGTAATCATAAGCTTCCAAATCTTGGATGTGACAAGATGCTTGACAGAATTTTATCAGAGGATATGAATGATATTCCCTGTGTTTCACCAATATTATTTGGTAATCATAATACAATTTTTTCATGCATTAGGGGGTATCAAATATAACCAAATCCATCATTATTTAATTGACTGGTTTGAAAAAATCCACCCTTTTTTAAACATGTTGGTTATCCATTTAACCCCTTTTGGGGCCCATTTATGCAAAAAAAAGTTTTTGAAAAAGTGACTGGTTTCTGATGGTGGATTACCTATATTTGATACCCCCTATTGTATATGGCAGCAAAAAATGAGCTTCAAAGAGATGACACTTTTAGCTCTGAGCTTAAAATTCAAAAAAAAGGCTTTCTAAGTATAAATGTCAAGTTCCACTTGTCCAAATAAATTACAAATATGACTTCCGTTCAAAAACATCAGGTGAATTTTGAAGTATTGAAGAGCTCTCATTTGCTGCCTATTACCTAGATGGTCAGATGCCCAGACTCAACATATTACCAATGGAGGCATCAATCAAATAATCCTTTGGTTAAGTCAATAATTGTTGTATGATTTTCTCAGTTCACAAACCTGCATTCAATTTTTCCAAAACTCATCCTTGCCAAGATTGAGACTCACATACATGTGGGTATACTATATCCAAATGGAAGAGTCTTATTATTCCTGAAGTATAAAATTTTATTCCTGTTTATCCCATGCTTTGGTCTATGGAATCAGATTTTCCTTGACCAAATCAATTACCCGCTTTCAACATATTTATTGCACTTGATTGTCCACATAAGGATGTACTCAGGGATTGTTCATGAACCAATATAACCAGTGGAATCAATCTGTGCCTGGATTTAAATCAGTACCGGATTTTGTTGCTGGTTCCAAATCTCCTGTTTTGGCCAGATTCTCCTAGCTTCAGGTTCAGCTTATTACATAGAAGCTCAGAAAGATGTTGCTGATGTAGCCCATGCAATCAATTGTTCTTTCTTCTCAGGGTCTGACTTCCCTGACCCTAAATTTGACAAGCTGTGGCAGGCTGTAGCAGAACAGGCAGGAATCTTCATCTCAACAATATCCTGTGATGGTTTCTTCCAGGATGGACTTCCGCATCCAGACATCAACAAGTCATATCAGTGATTCTGTATGTAGCGAGCCAGGATAGGGTTGAATTACCAAATCCGGAGGAGTCAAACGAAATGGGGCGTGACAGGCAGCCGGCGTGCGTGACATGCCCGTGTAACTCAGCCGTACGCCTGCAACACGCACCTGTCTCGGATCTTCCAAGCTCGCGATCGACAGCCGGATTCGGACTCAGCCGATGCCCTACTCAGCCAAAGACACCGTTCCAAGGTCCAAAGACTCAACAAGACCCATCCCACTCTCCTCCCAACAACTACCTCCCTCTTCCTCAACCACCAGGCACGATGACCCAAAACGAATCATCCTCAAAGCTCTCGTTGGTTTCAAAGTCAGTCATCAAACAAACAAAACACCTTAATATCCATCATGGCTGCTGGGATGAGAGTACACACTGATAATACGATCATTCCATTCTTGCAGTCCAATTCGGTTGATCAATCAAACCTTGTCGGGTTGCGTGGAAAGAACAGCCTCATCATCTCGATACTTGCGGCAACTGCTAAAACTACATCAAGAAAAACTCAGAAACTGTCATGACCCATACCCGCGTCAATCATCCAAGTCGCGTAGTGCCATCCAAGCAGGAAAAGTCACACTGCACGATGGTGAACTCGTCACCTTATCCGATCAGAGGAAAGAGAACGTAATCCGAATCAGTGAGACATTTGATATCGATGAAGTCGATGCACTCGTCCTATGGCTCCAATTCCTTCACGCCGAACCACCAGCTTCATCTGATCCAAGCAGCGCAGACCAGTCGAACTCTAAGAAGGTCACGGACATCGGGTTTCAAGAGGAGAAGTGTGACGATGGAGTGCTGGCCAAATTCTCCTCCTTCTATTTCGAGGAGAGGAGAAGTGCTCTGATAGTTGTTGCATCAACTTTGCTTATAGGTTAGCATTATCTTCCCCTTCATTTTCTCTTGACTATCCTGGTGCACGAAGTCACAATACTGATATGCGTGTTTTTTCTTGACAGCCGAAAACGAATCCTCTGCAATCAATGAGACGTGTTCAGAACTTCTTGATCAGATCATATCAGTAGAAACACCCTCCTCGATGCTCGAATCATTCACCAAACGAACCAGCTCGTCTCTCCCCGATAGCGTGCGCGCAACAGCAAGACAGGCATTAATTTGGACACAGCAGGTTTGTTTATCAGGCACATTATTTGATATGACTATGTAGCGAGTGTTGTGTACTGATGAACCTTTCAATTATTTTCAGCTCATGTATGAGCAAAAGTTGATCCTCGAAGTTATCTTTTTGCTGTTTTACGGCCGTATCAAGCCGGATGCCGCGCATTATGTCTCAGTCTTGAAAGTTTTGCGAGAGACTTCCTCGGGAAAAAATCAGGCGTGTTTACCTTACTTTGATGAGGAAACTTCGATGATCAACCTGAACGTGTCAAACCTTCTGACGCTAATAGCCTTGCAAGCCTCTCATACTGAAGACATCTGCTCTCCTGAATTCTCACTGGCGCCCGAGCCTACTGAACGCGAATTGACCCACCCAGCCAAGCTCAAAGAAATCTATGACTTGCAACTCAATTTGCTCGAGCAGCAGCCACAACAGGCCGCCCCGATCGCCCTTGCTTGGTCGTTTATACTCCACCAGCTGACGAATTTCTACCTGGAGAATGAAATCCCACATTCGCATCAAGACTTCGCCGAGCTCATTCTTCCCCAGTCAAACCAAATCAATTCCGATCAGGATGATGAGCTCAACACCGAGCAACAAGAGGAGACTATGCCATTATACCAGCGTTGGGCTCGACACGTCCTGTCCAATCAGTGTCAACTCTTTCAGAATCTGAGTCAACTGGCGACCTCAGTGTACTGTGCGAGCTCCCATAATCGCTTTGGCGCCTCCGACAATAACGCACTTGGCTACCTCGTCACCATTCGAACGTTCTTATCCGCTGTTCCGATATTCTTCCGATTATCATACCTGGGCAGCCAACAGTTCGAGGAGGCTATCAATGTATTCGGGTTGTTATTTAGACTTGATGTACAGCACGCTATAGCTAGCGACTTATGGCGAGCAGTCGATGGCGACTTGGACGTTGTTGAGCTCCCCCTAGCGACCGGCGAAGCAGAATATCTCGCTGCCGCGCGAGTGAGATTCCCTATCAATGTTGGGCTTTTCACCGGATTGTGCCGATCACTCAGTGGTTTCAACGAAACCATGCAGCCTTCAGATCCGAGCGATCAACTTCTCTGTGCCCGGTCTTTGCTGGACTATGCCGATCAGCTACCCACACTCACCGAAGCCATCTCCAGTTCTCAGTCTGCGCTCCTACCTCTGCCTTACGAGCCGACCCTTCCGCCCCAGACCATGGATTCACTTGACGATAGTCCCCCCGACACTCAAGGTTGGGTCAAAGCCACTCGGCCCATTTGGATCTCACCCGATCTCCAAATTCCTAAGCACACAGTAGGTAAAATCATCAGCGGCATTGACCAAAAACCTGTTGTTGTGTGTTGGCGCTTCACTTGGTCAGCTTGGAGATATTGGGGTCGACTCCTGCTCCAATATGCAGGCTACTCTGTTCCTCAAAGCAATCATGACCATCACAGCGATGTTTTTGGATCGTCATCAACCAACAACCTCTCATGGTATGAAGATAAACTGGAAACCGAAAGCATCATCAATATCTTGAAGATGCTGACTAGTGTTGTAGAGTGCAGCACAGAGCTGGGAGCAGAGCTGATTGGCAAGATGGTTGGCCATATCTCGCATCAAGGTCTCATCCAAGCGCTTTTCAATCTAATCGAGCATCCTATCGACATGTCCACCCATACCGTCTCCAGTGAAACCACTCGAATCTCTCTGCGCCTCGTATCTGCCCTCTCGCCAATATTCCCTGGCGCTGTTTGGACTTTGGTTCGAGGCTCGCATCTTCTTTTTCCGGACTCTTCGAGAACATCCACCTGGAATGCTGTCGAGACGAGTGGTCCCACATTGAAGTTTGAACGGTTGTCTGGTGAATATGGCATCACGCTCGCCATTTTGGACCTAGCTCAAATGCTTCTCATGGAAGCTATTTCTTCGGGACTCACGACCAATCCAACATTTGCTGAAATCAAAGCCGAAGTTCTTGTTGGGGCACTCGGCTGGATCTGCGAGGAGGTTTGGCCTGGATTTCAAAATTGGAAATATCGTCGACTGGAAGACAAGTTCCTAATCGCGAGCAAATGTTGCACAGTCTTCAACACGATTGCTTCTGAGGCTTTGAAAACCCAATTGTTTACGCCCAAGATCCAAACAGACTTGGTCATCGCGCGATTGGCTCAATCTTTTTTCTCCTGGTTCCTCACTTCAGCCACCGCGATCACACTCAATCCGCTGGTTTCCATCATCACGACTGACAAGAGTGTCATGGAAACTCTTCGCAAATTCCACCGCAACTTGGAACTCGAGGCCTATGTTGAATCGCTTTCGGCCTGCACTCGTTTGGCCAGAAACATTCTAGCCCTCAAAATCAACCATTTCCCCGCGGGGCAACCCTCCTTGCTAGAGCGGCTATTCATGGCTCAGACCAAGCGAAAAACTTCTTCATTCGCTTCCAACAAGGATTTGTCGCGTCAAAGCGTGTTACCATTCATCGCCCAATGGTGTCTTGATGCTCCGCACGTCGACATATCTAGGGATGCATGTGATATCTTCTGTTTCCTTTGCTTCCTTTCGCAAGATTGGCCTTCCGATTGGCCCTCAATCAGTTCAAGCTTCGGAGATCCCGACACTATGAGTCTATTTTTGCACGAGCTTGCGCTTCAAGGTTTCCAGATCCGTGATGACGATGGCCTACTCAGATCATCGTTTTGGAATTTACTGGCTGTACTACTCGATACTCAACCATCTCTCGGACCTATCATTGTGACTGGGATAACATCCCTCCCCGGTTCCACCTCTCAGTCCGTTCGAACCTTGCAGTCCAAAAGTCCGTTCGAGCTAGGCATTGCGACATTTGTCACATGTTTCGAGAATAATAACAAGCTTGACATCATCGTCGGACAGAGCGTGTTGTACTTTTTGTACAACATTTACAGTCAGACAAACGGATTTGTTTCAATCTTGAGTCAAACCCTAGAGAATCAAGAGTTTGTTGATAGGATTATTGACATATCAACCAGTCTGATCAATACTCCTCAATCCTTACTCAGCACATCCGACAGCCGCCTTACGCCTATGCCGGATGATACGGCTGAGCACGACTTACTCGGGGAACTGGAAGAACTTCAAGTTAAACATTTTTGCAATGAGTTGATGTGTAAAGCTTATGCGACCAGGACCCTGACGGTTTTGCTCCAACTGGAATCTGATCAATCGGCTGTGTCAAAAGGCATGCCGAGCAAGAGTAATATCGGCCTATCTATCGCGAAAGAACTTCAAAAAACACCGACTCAGCTGTGTGAATTGATCTGCTCCGCCATCGAAAGCCTGGCAAACCCCGAACTTCAGTCTGAAGCCCTTCGAGAAATCAATAACCGATACCCCAATCTCGAGCTTGATACCTACCGAAGAGTTGACCCCGCTTTACCATATGAGAAGCTACAGCTGTACGGCAAAGGTTTCGTTTATGACTACGAATTGATGAAGGGTAGAGTTAGAGGAAGTGATGTCTCGGCAAAAGTGGCGGATGAAGTGATGAAGAATTTGACTGCTATCAACTGGAATTTGTCAGCTGTCGATGCCCAACTTGAAGTTACTCAATCATGGGAATCGTTTCTGGAAGTAGTCTTTCAACAGAAAAATCTAGTTCTTCAGTTAGGACAACAACTCTCTCAATCCGTACTGGAATCGGCCAATGTGATAGCAAGAGAAAACCGAGGCGGTGACTTTATGGTCAACATCCACTCAGTTAGAATCTCCATTCTTTTGACATTACTTCAAGCACTTCCCGTGAATGAAGAAACATCAAAAACGACCATCAAACTATTGGAAAGCGTCAAAAGCCTGATCTCCTCCGAGCGTTTTCCGATACTCGATTCAATCAAGCGAAGGCTCAGCATCAATTGGCACACAAACTTTCTCAAGCTGCTTTACCTAATCTTCAAGAGATGTGCGCCAATCAAGATAACCAGTCTGAATGATGAACAAAGGCACCTGATGATCAACTTAGTGGAAACGTTTTTGAGGTCTAGCATTTCGATCTTGGAGACCGTCTTGACTTTAGCCATGATCTCATCGGATACCAACTACGAGCAAGACTTGAAATTGAGCGTTTCTATTTTCACCGAGCTCATGAACTCGCCCGTCCGACCTCCAATAATGAACTGGGCACATCGGATTCATGATCTCTGTCAACCAGCCTTCAATCTCCTCACCCAAGAACCTCTTCTTGATGACCAAGAGCCGATGTTTGCGGAACATGTGATTCGCCTCTTCATGAGCTTGGCCCTTGATGATCGTCTCGCGGAGTACATTGCATCTGAGGGACTGATACCTGTTCTACTCAACATATCGCTCACTCAGAGGGCATCTGAAGGATTGATTGAGCCCGTCTCATCCAGTCGACCGTTCGAGAGAAGTCCAACCCATCGACTTTGGTGTTCAATCCTCGCTCTTGTTACCTCCCTTGCCAACACCCTTTGCTATAGCGAAACCTTCATGCTCGACGAAATTGGTTCTTTTGCCCGACTGTACTCCCCTCAATTGTTGAAAGCTATCAGTGTCATCTCGCCGCCCGATCATACTTTGCGTGGATCGTACGAGATGAATTTGACTCTTGCCGGTATAGAAGAGGCGGAACTTGTGACAGATCTCTTGACAGTCGTTTCTTCCAAACCCGTTGGACGGCCTCTACTCAGCCTGCCCGAAAACTATCGCCAGGCCATGCTAACTGCCCTTCAGACTTTGGCCCATTGCCTCAATCATCCCAATTCTACATCAAAATGGCTTGAGAATGATGTGACGTGGAAGAGTGGTAGTAGGCTAATGAGTCAAACTTTGGGCAAGACTGATCAAATCGTCGTCGATAACGGCCAACCCTTGGCTTCTCATGTCCAAGAGGCTTTGTTGCACATGTTGCAAGTTTCTCGGAATATTCTTCACACACTGGTTTCTCATACTCGAGCGCTCAATGTTCTTACGCGAGACGTTGCAGAATGGGCAACCGAATACGCAGTGATTAACCCTGTAAGCATTAGTTTCGCTCTTAAACGTTTCGCAAATTTTGAAATTGTCAAGGCTAATTAATAACCTCATCTGTCATTTTCCCCCACCCTGTTTTATAGACTAGAAGCATTGTCGTTGGTGATACAGCTACCATCGGAACGCTGTTCGAGCTTGCTGAAACAAGTCTTGATATCTACCGATCGGCTTGCACTCGACCTTCCGCGCCCACCAACCCATCGGCCAATCTGTCGGAGCAACCGCCAGTCAATGTATGTAATGCCTCAGCAGCCGTGCTGGAGCTATCACTACTCCTGGCATCTTCCCAATTGGCTCTGTGGCTATTTTCGACCGTCAACTCTGAGAGTAACGCCATCGCAAGCCATAAATACCCCAGCTCTAACGCGGTTCATAAAGATAGTGACATGAGCGGCCAACCTCAAGCCCCATCTTCGCCTCGCCTCAAGCGGGAAATCTTGAGCGATCTGGCACCTGATCTGATGAGCTCGATCGAGAAAGGATTGAGCGTGATCAAACTGATCAACTCTCGAAGCTCCAATACCCAACCTCTCAAAAACTCTGGTATGAACGCCTTAAATAGGTCGATCATTCGGAAAAAACCGGGCAAGAAACCGTTCCAATTGGCCTCTTCTTCCTCTTCTTCTACGCTCCAATTATCTCCGGCTAATCCTCATCCAGAATCTAGGACCGATCTCGTCGTCTCTAATCTCCCTGATCATCATCAGCAAACTGAGGATCTCTTGTCCGTCTTAAAACGCTTCGCCGAGCGGCATTTTGTTGAATGAATTGTTTGGTTTTCTTTTTACTTCTCGTGTGTTATTATTATCTTCTTCTTTTCTTCTTCTTCATTCTCTTTTCTTTTTCTCTTTTTTTATTTCTTTTTATTTCATCTTTTTTCATGTTGGTTTTTTCCCATATGTCATCTCTATTCAATTGATTTGGGGTTTTCTTTGTGTAAATCATTCTTCTTTCTTGGTTTTCTTTCTATCTTCTGTTTCTTTTTTGTTCGTTTCAAACTCAATATGTTGTCAGGAAGAAAGAAAAAAAAAATGTTTTATAATCAATATATTCAAACATATAATTTGGCTTTGGCTTGGCTGATATTGGATCATGCATCTCAACTTCATGGCTTTCAAAAATTTCACATTGGGCTTGGTGTATACATACCCAGAACATTGAAGAGTGCGAATGTACTATCGTATATGGAAACTGTGTCGGTGGAACTGTTTTACAAGGTGATTCAGATGATGAAAAAGAGTTAAGGTACATACCCTTTGCATTGAAGATCAGCTATTGGAGTAAACAAAGCAAATGAATGAAAAGAGCCACTGCCTCTTATCCCGGGGGCACATCCTGTTGGAACCCGTCCCCGGTTCCACCACCATGCTGAGTTGGGCTGGCGGGTCGAGGAGGCTCAACCAGAACAAGAAAAAGAGGGACATACAAATCAGAAGAGACATGCCGATCTCACAGAACAAGCTGATGCCATACTCGGACAACCCGTCGATGATCGAAGAACCCGCGAGGGAGCACAGAAGGAATCCTGGAACATCAACACGAAAAAATCGGCCGTCGTCGCGATTCAAGCTCGGAAAGTTCTTCCAGAAATGGATCATGTCTTCTCGTCATCTCAAAATTCCAGGACAGCAGCAGCACGTTAATCTACACGACTCTGCACGGTTTCCAATCAAGATTAGACCAGTCAGTCAGTCGCATAAACTCAATCAACGCTTCTCCCCTCCTTCTCTTACCCTGAAATGTAACACCTGAGGATCAATAGTTAACTGACGTCATCCTTTCCATTATCGTAACAGGCTTTCTGTATACTCACTTTGATCAACATCATACTATTGGCGATCGTTGGATTCAGCCGGACGAGCCATTCAATTATAGCTATTCCTAAAAAAGTATGGATATTTTTGGCATTTTAATTTCCCTGCAATATTTGCTCTACTACCTGTGATTTCAAAGGGTAGATGCAAAACAGAAGGATGCTTATTCACAATCTCATATCACTTTTTTTTTCTTCGTTGGAGAGTTAGCTTTTTCACTTTTTTGGATGTGAGTGATTCCCTTCTATCTCAATTCTCCAAGGTCGCGTGTACCACGGAATCAGTCATGAACTGATAAAATATGTTAATTACGGCCCATTTTCTGATACGAATCAATCCCACCAAAAATCGCCAACAATAAAGTCGCGTTGATTACTGGCCTATTTTATTCAATACCAGACATAGAGGATTCATCAAAAGTGATTTGGTACTGGAATTTTTTCAATGAAATCCTGACAGGCATCGTCTGCTTTTTTCTGGGTGGGTTCGGGAGTGAATTCATCCAATTGTTCTTGCCGTGGAAAGTGTTTTCAGTGAGTGATATATTTATACTCTTCAATGCCGGTGGCATGATTATTATAAATCATGCAACAACGTGCCAAGGCTTACATCTCAACATATGAACCTAGTGGGGTGATTTACTGGCCAATGAATTGGGTTGTTTAGCTGGATATCAACTCTCTCGATCATTGCACCGACGTTATCGGAATAAACTAGAATTATCAAGCCTGTACGAGCCGCTGGGGGCCGGAGGATCGTCCTCAAGAGATTTAGACCTATCTTCCGAGCACGACGAAGATGAAGAGCACTTGAATGATCGGCAACATGCATCTTCGAATACCCTCTTTGGTGCTAATAATCCCGAACTTTCTAACGTTTGGTCAGATAGACTAGAAGAAGGCCACGAATACTTTAGGTTTGAAGAGGATGAAGAGTGAGACCAGTTTTCAATTTTTTTTTGTCATATCTAGGTCAGTTCTCTGCTTGTTTCTTCATCCTCAGTTTCCAGGCAGATGGGAGGTGTTGAACTAATATCAGCATCAAAAAACAACAGATGTCTTGGCTTTCAGTCTCAACAGTCCCACCAAGAAATTCCTCCCTGCTTATGTTGTTATTATTCAGCAGTTGCTTGACAACCTTCCAGCCAGATAGTCCACGTTTTTCCTCCCTGCTTATGTTGTTATTATTCAGCAGTTGCTTGACAACCTTCCAGCCAGATAGTCCACGTTTTTCTTACTTATATGAGATGTAAATGATTTGAATCTATGAAGGCGCACGTGCATAAGCAAATCAATTTATTATATCATTTGTACCAAACACTTTAGTACACTCCTTTTCGTGTCCGCCTTGCCATTTCTTGTATATGTGACATATGTATACTCTTTCCCACGAACTGCTGAAATCTTTGGCATGAAAAAAATAAAGAAAATAATGATCTGAATTGCATTCTTGATACTAGTTATATAATATGGTCTGAATATGCAAACCCCAATCTGCAAGTCAGCTCTGAAAAGCTAACTGATAGCCAAGGATCCCTATATTTTGACATGTCATATGCCACATCATACATGGCTCTCTTCGAAATTGGATATATAGACAACAGAAAATTCACGTATCACATTACTCAAAAGGCAAAGCATGCAAAGCTCTTAAGTGGGACTTCCCAAACAAAATCCTCACAAATGCCTAAGAAACCACCTTTGAAGAAGACGGGTCACGGCATGTACGTTTAATGGCACACACAGTGTCAAATTTCACTTGGGTACCCTCTAGTCGAGACTCGAGAGGGGAAGGTCATGGGCAAACTGTTGACTGGCATGACATACCATGTCATCGGTCTAAATTTAACTTAATTTAATTGTTTTCTTTTCCTTGGTTTATTCATCTTTTCTTACCTACTCTGCCTTTAGTTCTTTCTCTAGCCATAAATATAGATCAAAGCATACTTTGACATTGGCCATTTTGCTTGGCTACCCTCAGGCTAAGTGCGGTCTGGGGCCCTTCAGGCGTTGTCTTGTCATGGAAGTTGGCTGGGGAGGTGTGCACTTCAATTACCATCGTTGTAAGGGAGGAGGGGCAAGGAATGGATGCTTGGTTATTACTCGACTGAGCAGCTCACGATTGCTCAACCATAACTATCGAACATTGTCCGAGCAAAGGATTCCTCATCACAACTCACAAGCACTGAGGTGCTTAATCAAATAGAACTGGATGCGTAATGATCGTTATGCTTCATGCAGTGGTCCAGTAAGAAACAAACAGACAAAGAGGAGATAAGCTAGAAGGGGGTTACAAATAGTGTCTGTTTAGATAGCAACACCAGCTCCGACATCAACACCGGCACCGATGCCTAGAGGGCCACCGACACCTGCGCCAACGCCGACGTTTGCGCCAACGCCAACACCGGCTCCGAGGCCTGCTCCGACACCAACGCCAGCGCCAACACCAACGCCAACGCCGGCTCCGAGGCCTGCTCCGACACCCACATTGGCACCGACATCAACGCCTGCTCCGAGACCTCCGAGACCTCCGAGACCGACACCGGCTCCAACATCAACGTTCGCGCCGAAACCTAGTCCACCGAAGCCCCCGAGTCCACCGCCAACTCCAACTCCTGCGCCCACGCCTCCTAATCCACCGACTCCAACGTTAGCATTGAAACCGAGACCGGGGACCATGCCGAAGAGGCCACCGAAGCCGTGACCAAAGCCGCCAAATCCGGGCATCATGCCAAAGCCGTTGCCCATTCCACCGAAACCAGGCATGCCACCAAATCCTAAAAGCAAACAAGGATGATAAGTAACCAGTAAGCCATGGTGAAAGAATTCAAGAAATCTTACCGGGTTGTTGTCCTCGGCCACCTGAGGGGTGGTAAGAAGCTGGTCGGTGGTGTTTGCTGGGGCGGGATGGCTTGCCACCGTGGGACGAGTATTGAGGAGGTGCTGAGTAAGACTCTGGTGCAGAGTAAGACTCCTCTGGTGCTGAGTATGAATCAGGTGCTGAGTAAGATTGCTTGGGGGCGTATGAGTCGGAGTCGTAGCTTGAGGCTGCGTAATCACTGGGCTGGTGTTGTCCAGCCGGGGAAGGCATGGCGAAAACACCTGTTCGCGCAACAGAGATTAATCATGATGTTCAGTTTTGGGAGATGAGGCGCGAAGTACTTCTAAGGGACTTCTCCCGAAAACATGAACTTACCGCTGGTGGCGATCAGAAGGGTGACGAGTAAGCTGGACTGCATGTTGTTCGAATTTGAAGATTTGAAGAGGATTAACTGATTGTCGGAGATTATGATAAATTAACTGAAGCGAGTGGCCTTGAATTGATTGATTACTGGGTTGAAAGAAGGTGTAAGGAAATTGTTGGGCTGATAGTGGAATGAGGATAGAGGGAACATCACCCAGAGCTGCTTAAATATGAGTGATCACAGTCAGAGGGCCTTGCTTCCAGGTTAGACACTGATTTGATTCGCGGCTGCATCCACAATGCCTGGCTCTCCTCGAGGGGATACGAGTCTCACCTGATCGCTGCCAAGTGTCATGAATACTGATAACCGAGGTAATGAGAGTGGAGCTGCCCGGTGGGCATCATCTTTCGGTGCGAAAAGCCCTTCCGCGATTGCGCTGATCAGCATTCCCTTCTCACTTTGAGGACTCCAAGGTGAAAGAAAAAATACTTTCGGCTAAAGTAAAAGCTCAATCTCCAGAGAGTCTTATCACCGCGCAAGTTTGCTTGATTATCATGGCCATTCACTGCTCCGTCCTCCCCTTTCTTCATCTCATGAATCATCTGCCGCAAGGTTTTCGAACAAACAGATTCAAGCTGGATTTGCGGCTATAGCACGATTTGGTAATTGCTCTGACTTGAGCTTTCGAGAACCTTGAAGCTTCCTAATCTGTAGTGTGTCTCATGAAATCCGTCAGGCTGCAGGATGGTGACCGCTTCAGCTCAAGCAATCTATACCAGCCGGCAGCCTTCTCAGTACTGCGATTGACGCTGTCCCAATTCATGAACCGCACGAACCATTACGTATTTCCGGTTTCGCTTCTTGGTTTTCTGCGAAGCCACCTTGTCTTGCTACTCATTCAGGCTCCTTCTACTCATCCAAGCTCTCTCGTGTATAAGCCCACCTCCCTGTGGTCGGCGCAATGCGACAGGGGCGAGGCCATTCGCCTACCAACGCCGCTCACATCAGAGAATTGGGCACTTGTGTTCAGAGCGCTAAGGAGTGGGTCTGTGCTGCTCATCAGGCACGCCTAACATAATCATATCTCGCTAGTATTCCCCACTTCCTAGTAATGTGATGAGTGGTGGGAGGGGGATTCATTTCCTTCTTGTTTTCTTGTTGTGTTGTGTTTTCTTCTTTTATCGGCTTGGGATGGGGGATGGGGCCTGGGCTGAGGAGAATAAATAAGCGATGACTGGGTGAAATCAATCGGCTCTTCCTTGTGAACACGCGCCAGTCACCCGATTTGAAAGGGGGCGCGCCCAATTGCTGTTCGGCGATATTTTTCCGCCGCTGGCCGGTTTCTTTGCCTGGGCCTTGTGCTCTTACATTCGCCCTCTTTGTGGGGTTTCAATGACATAAGGACGGCCTCCATTAATGGTGTGATGAGCTTAACAGAGGCCCTCGCTTGGGATCATGGAGCGACAACCCCCTGAAGTTAGCTTGGTAAAGTCCCTCTGAAGCGAGGCGCTGGGCCGCCAAACTGAGGGCATGTGACTGGCTGATGTTTTGGCCCATCTCCGAGTTCATTTTGTTTTTAAAAACTCAAGAGTAAGTTATGGAATAGAAACAATAACCCGTGCATTGCATAAGTATCCATTTATTAAGGATATTTTCTGGCAAAAACAATCCCCAATCACACAAACAACCCCCAAACCAGTGTTGTAGGTACCTTTTTCAGGTTGGTTGAATGGGGTCATTTCACCACCTCTTTTTGAAAGTACTTCACCTCAGTCAAAAAATCAGTTTTTGGACTTCAGGCGATGGTAATAGGTTCAGTTGACCTTCACATTAGGTTTCATTCCATGTTACATACATCCAGAGATCATAGTTGAGAGCTTGTATGGTGTTGCAAGCCCATCTCACGGCAAAAGGGGTTGTATCAGTGACAACCCCCCCCCCCCCCGATAACATTGCCCCGAGGCGACCGATATAACATCGGTCTCCTTGACCGATTTTATATCGGCCAGGCCCACCGATACATTTTTCCTTTGTTCTAATGTATCGGTGGGCCCGACCAATATAAAATCGGTCAATCAGACCAATCTTATATTGGTCACCTCCGGGCGACCTTATCGCGGGGGGTTGTAACCAATGCAACCCCTTTCGCCGTGTCTGGGCACACACCAAAGTTTGACCAAAAACAGGCCAAGCGCGCTGGGCCAATCCCAAATCCCACTTGGCCAATCCTAAAGCCCGTGTGGCACCCTCCCAACCCCTGATTGTCACATGCCAAAGTTGTTGGGGGTTGGGCCAAAGCCTTGCTTGGCCAAAATTAGACTAGAGATGGTTGCGGGGTATCCGTTGCGGATACCCGCTATCCCCTGGCGGATACCCGCCAGGGGATACGGATTGGGGTTCGGATGTGCCCTTTTCCCAGAAATTTGGGCGGGTATCCGGGTATCCCAAAGGATACCCGAGGCCAGAAGGGGGGATGGCCGGGGCTAAAGTTCTCAACCGTTGAACTAATAGAGCTGTCTTGTCGCTGTTACAGTTTTAACTACCGCCCCCCCATACCTCAATATACCCTCCTAATATAGAGATCGTTCGTCCGTACTTTTTGCAGGTACCTGGTACCTCCTGGGGGGTACCCCTCGCACCCACCCCACACCCTCCAGGAGGTGCCAGGTGCGGTACTTGGTACCTATTTTTGTGAAAATTTGAACAGGTACCTAGGTACCTCTACAGGTACCCCCTGACTTCCCTACCAAAAATCAAAATGATGGTGGCCTTCTACTCCAAGAACTCCAAGATCCAAGAAGGTACCTTGGCTGCATGGAAACAGGGACTCAAGGATAAGAGGAAGTCTAAAAAAAAAACAGAAAGGAAGGTGATGGTTTTGGATGACAATGAAGATTCTTCCAATTAGTTATAAGTTTCAGATAGTTTAAACTTTGCAATAAATTATTAAATATGAAAAAATAAAAAATAAATGAGATGTTTTACAATAAATATGAAAAAAAAATAGAAAAGTAAGATTCTTCCAATTAGATGTAGATATATTACAACAGATATTAAAAAATGCCAAAAAAGTGACTTGTGAGTGATATTTTACAATAAATATGAAACAATAATAATAATAATAAAGTGACTTGGGACTCTGGGAGTGAAACTAGGTGAAAAAGAGAGGGGGGGGTACCTGAGGTACCTGCAACAGGTACCTTGGGTACCCCCCAGGAGGTGTCTGGTGTGGTACATGGTATCTATTTTCTTGAAAAAATGAACAGGTACCTGGGTATAAACAGGTACCTAGGTCCGAACAAACGATCTCTATCCTAATAACATACCTGATATCTTACCTTGCACTTTACCCTCTCTTTTAACAAGTCGTCCCTCACCATTACCTATCTCCTCTGCCTGATTTCTTCGAAATGGATTTCTTTCTCTTAAAAGGTTAAGAAAAAATCATAAACACAATATAATGTGATATATACTATACTCTATAAAAGAGTATAGGATAATAAGGATATAACAATATACAATACTATGTGATAGATAATGCTAGATAGTATAAGAGTTTGACTCTCTTCAATTTCTTCCCTCATTTCACACACGATATATATGTGGAAGGAGGTATACATAGATCTTTAAGTTCACTAAATAGCCCTCCGGAGAATACCTAAGCTCTATTTAAAACCTAACGTCTTCTCCATGTTTTATCCATTCAATAAAACTTATCCCTTACTATTGCTAAGTAGTAAAGGAGATAAGTAGAGGGAAGGTAACGGAGATAAATTTGAAATGGTGTAAAGAGGTGATGTGTAGGGTTAGAGCGGGGGGAGATAAGGATGTATAGAAAAGAAGGGTGATAAAAGACTATAGTATAAGTGGTAAGGATGAATATAGACAGACACCTAACAGAGTTTATAAATTAATGAGATAGGCTAGATAATCAAGTAAGGGGTGGTATTTTTTCCATGGTACATAGTGTTAACAGGGGTGTGCTAATATAAAATTATGACAAGCGTGAGGGATAATGGGGGGGGGTATAAGTAAATAAGGGGAGAAGCAGTCGACGAGGTGCATGTACCTCACCGGCTGGAAGGAAATCCTTCCAGTCGACGAGGTACATGGAAGGATTTCCTTCCAGCCGGTCCCTTGCCGGCCGTTTAAAGGGCGGGTATCCGAGGATACCCGCTGCGGCCGACGGATACCCGCTAGCGGGTTCGGATGCGGATGCGGATGGTTATTTTGCTACAAAAAGCAGCCGGATATCCGGATGCAAATTGACCATCTCTAGCCAAAATCAAGCGAGGGTGCCAATGAGTCAACACATACCTTCCTCAAAGGACCTCACCAAGCAACATGGGAGAGGACCTTCAAGGATGGTGTGAAGCCATTTTGCAACATCTCAAACATCACAAACATCTCCCCCCAGCACGCCAACAACCAACACTTTTTCAAAAAAAACACTTCCCTAACACCTGTCCCTTACCCTATCCCTAACACCTATCCCTAATCCCTAACCCTAACCCTACCAATTGTGCCTTGTGGTGAATGAGAAGTGATAGATGTTTTTTTTTTGAAGTCGAAGTTTGATTGGTATGAGGGCGCACAGGCAAACATCCTTTGCAAGTTTGAGATGTCAAAAATTGGGTGTACACCATCCTTGAAGGACCTCTCCCATGTCACTCAGAGAGGTCCTTTGAGGAAGGTATATGTTGCCCTATCAGGGAGGGTGCCATGCCTGGAAATTGGCCTATCAAGACTTAGCTAAGTGCCAAGTCCCGCCCCCAACCAACCTGCATGATCAAGCCCTCTGGGCACAGGCCAAGTGCCACCAATATGGTCTTGCAAGCCCGCCTGGGCACAATCTCAAGTCCTGCGTGGTCGGGTTTGGATTGTGCCCAGAGGGCTTGATTGGACAGGATAGGCGGGGGGGCATAGCACATAGACAAGTCCCTCTGGGCCAATTGGTAGCTCAGGTGTCCCTGACTGTTGGAAAGCACATCAAGTGAGCACAAAGATGACTGACAATAGAGAAAACATTATGCTGTCCATTGATTGTGTATCAAGGCCTGATCAACACAGTTGAAGAGTTGCAACTTAACCTTACCAATAAAAAAGCAACAGAAGGAGGTTAGGGGTTACTGCTCTTTATAAACACAGAAGGAGATTGGGAAGAAGCTGACTTGATTTATCACAGCAATGGGCTGCTATAAATGTTAGCAAAATTCTTCTATGTTAAGCCGCACTAACGATACCATTAGCATAGTGGCCCATCTTTGGTTATCATATCAGGAGCTTCAAGGAAGTAGCTTACTCCATCAAATTTGATTGGTGCAAATGCAATTTTTGGAAGAAGACAACACCACCTGATTGATTGCACTGCAAATGTGATTATATCAGATTCCCACATCTGGCATTACATCAGATTAAAAAATCTGATTTTACATCATGCAAAACTGGTATTATATCTGTCAGGAGTGATATCATATCTACCTAAAATAATGTTATATCTATCTTAACAGATATTGCATCAGCCCAACCTATTTAATATGAACATAACTGATTTTATAACTGATTTTTATATCTGATACAAATTTTTAGCCCATGGGCATTAAATCAGATGGAAAAATCTGATATGAATTCAGTTATGTTGAAATTGAATAGGTTGGTCTGATGTAATATCTTGCATGATAGACACAATATCATTTTAGGTAGATATAATATCAATTCTGGTAGATACAATCCCAGTCTTTCCTGATGTAATGTCAGATATTTTTATCTGATGTAATGCCAGATTTCGCAATCTGATACAATCATTTTGGCAGTGTTGGAGAAATTCCTTCCACTTTTACAGCCCCCGTAAATCCAGGATTACAGGCTGTATAGCTGAATCCCCAGCAAAAAATTTGGACTGTTTGCATCTGACTATAAATCAACAAATACAAGGGCTGTATATTTGAGAGGAACTCTTTCATTTTTCATTTATATTTTCTTCCAGCTCATATCTCTTCACTTGCATATTCACTGCTTTGGTAAAACATTTAAAAACTTCGTTTTTTCTCTTTTTTTTTGTCAATAAACCTTTAACAAAGTAATAAACTTTTATACAGCTATGAGGCTGTATCGTCATTTTTTTTGATAATGATAATGATTTTGGTAGAGAGTAGTGGTGGAGGATGGGATTCTGAAGTAGAAACTGGGAAAAGCTGACAGGTCTTTTAGAGGACCCAGGAAAGCCCCTGTGGAACACAGTAACCAAAATGTATGAATGGATAAAAATGTCTACAACCACTTTGACTGAAGATGAGATGTGATTTATGGATATTTGCCACATCAGGACATGTACATACTAAAGGTGCATCATATACATGTTTTCTTTAGTGGCTAACCTCAACCAGCGAGTTTGAATAACTGAAAAACTAAAAAAAAATGTATGAATTTTTTTTCAGATTTTTTTTTTTTTTTTTTTTAGTTTTTTGCTTCTCAAGGCTCACTGGTGAGGATTTACCACTAAAAAGTTTATGGGCAGGATTCACCTTCAGTATGTACATGTCCTGATGTGGCAACTATCCAGAAATCACATCTAATGTTCAGTCAAAGTGGTTGTATACATTTTGACATTTTGGTTACTGTGTTCCACAGGGGCTTTCCTGGGTCCTTCTTTTAGGTCTGCAAATCCATGTATCTTTAGTGCCTTCCAATTTGAACATGTATGTATGCAGGGGTAGGGGGCTCCAGATCTGCAGGGCTCTACAGATCGGAATTGGAAGCTGTGACAGTACATGAACATCCCTCTGGTTCTCACTTCCGTTGTGCCGGTAGAGGGCTGAGTCACAACTGCCGTCTCACCACCACATTTTCCGAAAACTACCGTCGAAGCAGGTCGAAGCCAGTCAAGACTCAAGCGTACATATTACGGCCAGTGGCAATCGCAGGAGGCAGCGATCGACTGGCATATTCAACTCAGAATGGGTTCTGGTTACCTAACGCCTTCCCTTCTCGGCAATCTCAGGCATCAAGTCCGGAAGCAGTCTTCGGCTATTTCCGAAACTAAAGTATGTGTCCTACCCTCAGAAGATGACGTACCAGTCCAAATCAATCCACTCAATCGTCTGATTCTGTTTGCACAACTATTTTCTCAATGGCCTCTTCATACGCTTTTCCTACCAGCGCTGGCGACACGATCTCATAAAGCAATCTGGCACCGGGAAAGTCATTCAGTCCTCGGGTCCTTCTGGGCGTCATTCAAACACAGGCCTTGTGGCGACTGTCTTTGGGGCGACAGGATTCCTCGGACGTTATCTGGTGCACAAGCTGGCCAAACAAGGTACCCAAGTGATCGTACCTTACCGGGATGAGGACAGCAAGCGTCACCTACGCGTGATGGGCGATCTCGGACAGATTGTCCCGCTCGAATTCGACCTTGAAAACGAAGGTTTCATCAATGAATGCGTTCGACATTCTCACGTGGTCTACAACCTGTTAGGCCGAGAGCACGAGACCAAGAACTACAGTTTCGACCGACTCTTCATTGAGGGCGCATCAAAAATCACCAGAATTGCCAAAGAGAACGGCGTGGGTCGGTTGATACATGTCTCTCATCTCAATGCATCGCTCGATTCGCCTTCCAAACTTTACAAAGCAAAAGCTGCTGGTGAAAGCGTTGTGAGGGACATCTTTCCTGAGGCCACGATCGTGAAACCTAGTATCATGTTCGGACAAGAAGATCGATTTCTCAACAAGATGGTCACCAAGCCGTTTACTTTTCAAGTCAACAGGCTTGAAACTTTAGTCCGACCTGTTAGCGTGAGTACACTTCAACAATCTTCTGCCAAGTAACGTTTTTGCAATTTCTCGTCACTCACATAGCTTGTTGTTGATAAACAGGTTTTAGATGTAGCCGAAGCTATGCAATTGATGAGCACGGCAGACTCCACGGCAGGGAAAACGTTCGAACTTGCTGGTCCAAGGACATACACTCACGAGGAACTATTCCAAGTCTTGGAGGTGTTAACACACAAATCGTTGACTCCCTCATTCATCAATCTACCCCTGCCGATCTTCAAGTTTCTCATGAAAATCGTCGACAAAGCCGTTTGGTGGCCAACTCTAAGCGAGGATGAGATTGTCCGAAGATGTATCGATGATAAATTGGAACTCACCAAAGGCTGCTACGGATTCGATTACTTCGGGATCGAACCAGACGCCGTTGAGAATCTCGCAATCACGTATTTGAGGTACTACAGAACTGCGTGCGTACAACGCTTCTGACTTGACAATCTTTTTCTAAGTTATCAACCCGTGCTTATTTCTCTCTTTGTCTCGTTTTTTCAGATCACTTTTCGATGCACCGATCGAAAGAGGTGGTCTCAAGGTCAAGCCCAGGACTTACCATGCAGTGCAATGAAAAAAATTATGTTTGCCGCTCTCTGTAATCGCTTGGTTTGCCGCATCAAAAGATGCTAACTTGAAATGAATCAGATTTTTTTTTGTATTTAAATGCACACCTCAAGAGTGATTATCCGGTGTTTGATTGTCTTTTGACAGTGTCTGTCCAAGTCCCGCCAATCCTTCATCAAGATAAAATACATTTGCTTTGGATAGATTCTCTTGCTATCTCTTCAACATTGTGTGTGAAAATAGGTGAGTCATCTCAAGATAAACCCTGGGGGATTTTCTTCTGGCTTTGCAAATCATGTAATTTAAGGATGCCAACTGGGTGGGTTTGGGTTGCCCATAGGCTAGCGTGGCTCAGCCCACAAGATAATCAGACCGGGCAGAATTAGCTGATTTTGCTGTCTGACCCAAACCTGTGTCCCAAGCTTAACACAAGTCCCCTTGGTGGGAGGCTCACTGCACTGCAAGAAAAAGTTGTGCAAGTGAGTGGAGTTGACATGTGGTTTCACACAGGCACCTTTGTTATATTGCATGTCAACTGTGCACAGTTGCTTGACTTTTTCCTACAGTGCTGGTGTAACTTGAACTTAACACAAGTCTGATCCTTCTGTCTTTTGAAAAACAACCCTCTGAAGGAGGGACTTCAATGCTAAACCACATTTCCTGCATGAGCAGGATTCATGGTTTTGGTGGTGGCACCCTTATATGCCTCATCACACCTTCAATTGAGGATCTGCATCTTCTTTATTTTTCTTTATTTTTGTAGTGGAAATGTATGTTTGATTCTGACCAAAAAATTGAATCAAAGTTCATGATTTTGAACTTTGATTTGCAAATTTGGCAGGGAGCCTTGAGCACACTTTCACTATCAGCATATTTCATGCCTGCACCAGAATTGGTATGGAAACAAAAATATGAAAAAATACCAAAAATACAACAAGATGCTAGAGAATGAAGAAAAAAAAGACAAAAATATTTCAAGGCAAGAGATGGGGAAGCCAAAGGAGCAAGTGTCAAAAAGGACCTTCAAATTGCAACCTGCTCCAGCCAACTTTGAGTGATAAAATATAAGCCTCTCTGGTGAGACTGGGCTGCTGCTGTGTGAACTCCTTTAGGATGGATGGCAGTCCTGCGAGGGGAAAATAGCAGCTATAATATTTCAGGTATGTATGAAGCTATTAATACTGTTACGTGTGGTTTGAAAGACCTGCCCCTCTATTATACTACGCAAGAATTCTGACAACAAATTTGTTTAATTTTTGTGGCAAAACCTATGATAGAGAAGACTTTATGTAGTAGTCTCTATCAGACCTAGATCAACTGATATGGATGACATGCAATAACACAAGCTGCTCAAAGAACGTGATTTAAATCACAGGTGTTGGTGAAAGGGGGGGGCGATGAACATCAGCTGGCCAGGCTGTGTGATGATGGAGGAGAGATAAAACTTGGGGGCTGAAGGGCCTCCTTACGTAGTAAATTGTGAGGGATTTTGGCTGGTGGGTAAGTCGTGTGACTTCACATTTGAGGGAGTTTTGCTGTAAGGAAACTTCTATTGAGTGATTTCTGCTTCGCAGAACCTTCTATTGAGTGATTTCTGCTTCGCAGAACCTTCGATTGAGTGATTTCTGCTAGTGGTTTAGGCAACTGATTAGAGATGTCAGCAGGTACCCGGTACCCGTTTGCGGGTGCGGGTGTCAACATTTGCGGTAAAAACAGGTGCGGGTGCGGGTGCGGGTGCAGGTGTCAACATTTGCGGTAAAAAAAGGCAGGTACCCGCCTTACACCACCCGCCCTGGGAATGCTTCCCCTGAAGAATTTAATTTATCATTGGTGGTCCAACACTCCCTTTTTTGGGTGTGTTGGGCTGCACAAAGGTGTCAGCAACTCATGTAGGACACCAGCTGGTGTCTTACATGTGTTGCTGAACTAATCTGGTTGAGGCTGGAGGGTTCTCTCCGGCCTTTGAGATTGTGTACAGTCTTGATGACTGGAGGAATTCCTCCAGTCATAAAAACGGTGTACAGTTTTCATCAATGGACATTGAATAAGGCAAATGAGGCCAAACAAAAGGGTAAAGCTAAAGATAGATCAGAGAGAAGATAAAATTCAAATTGGTGATAGAATAATTTGTTTTTCTTTACTTCTTTATTTCTATTTTATTCTTACTCATATATCTAGTGAATATCAATCTTATATTTACCAAGTCATGCAGAAATTCAAGGGTGAGATTTCTGGGTATATTTGCATGCAAAAATGTGCCAGGTACCAGGTACCCGCCCTGGTGGCCCTAGCAGGTGCGGGTGCGGGTGTCAAAAATATTGGATTTTTGAGGCAGGTACCCGCACCCGCTACAGGTACCAGGGTATCGAGCAACATCTCTACAACTGATGATGTCATGTTACCAAACGTTGTAGTGTGCCAAATGTGTTTCAAGTACCAAATTGCATAAAGTCATGATCCAATCTTGATAATAGACTATATTATTGATTTTATTATTGCATATTTGAATTCTAAATCAAATTTAACCTATAGTCAATCACTGGAACCACTAGGCTAGCTCAACTCAGTCAGAAGCTATTTAGATTTTAAGGTTATGATAGAACATGATTACAAAGCATAGTGGTACATTGGTAGTGCATAGTATATATTTAGAGATAGGTAAATGGTTAGGGCTAGAACCACAATCTAGCCATTTTTGAAATTATCAGTTAGGGCTAGAACCACAAGCCAGCCGGTGTGTAAATAGACTATATAAGCAGGCCTTTTTGCCCCCCTGAGTTCAAGTTCCTCATGCAATCCCAGCATCAACATATATCTCACTTGGAGATTTCAACCCATTCATAGGGGTGATCTAAACAAGTATCTCATCATCACACAGCCTGGCCAGCTGGTGATCATCATCATCAACCCCCCCCCCCTTCTTCAACACCTGTGATCTTAATCAGGTTCTTAGATAGCTCTTCTCATAGCACTTCATATATATCAATTGATCTAGGTCTGATAGAGACTACTACATAAAGGTTTCTCTATAAAGTTTTTGGCACATCAATATATAAATGTTTGTTGTCAGAATTCTTGTGTAGTACAATAGAGGGGCAGGTCTTTCAAACCACCCGTAACAACATATATCAAACAAGCACAATATCATATTTGTTATTTCCCCCTCACAGGACTGCCACCATTCCCAAAGGAGTTCTCACAACGTGCAATAAACTATGTCACCAAACATGCAATAAACCATGTGACCAAACATGCAATAAACCATGTGACACTACATCAAAATGAGATATAGTTATGTAGTTTTATCTAAAGCTATACTATGCACTAGCCATATAGTACTATACTATGTACTAATTTCCAATCATAACAATAACATCAACATCCAAATAACTTCTGACTTAGTGGAGCTAGCCTAGTGGTTCCAGTGAGTGACTATCTAGCTTAACAAAGCCACTTGAACGGAGGGTCCGGGGGACCCCGCGCAGAGCGCTCTCCGTAGGAGAGGCTTACGTGTAACACCTCACCTGCTTGCGGGAGCAGAAAGGATTTTCAGGCTAAAATAATTGAAAGCTATTTTTAAAAAAAGTGAGATTTCAGGTTTTTTTTTGGAGTAGACAGAAATGGAGCCTTGATACTTGCGCAACTTTTGGCCTCCTTCACTCCTTTTCAATCCAAAAACTGTGACCTCTGATGCCAAAAGAGCCCTTTTGTTGTTGTTTTTTTAGTCCAACAATAAAGGTGTAATCCTGTTTTGACTTTGGCACATCCATCTGTGGATGTGCATTGTTCAACATGGATTTTCATCAACTATGAATGCCGGCCACAGTCTGCGTCGATCAGCCAGAGCCGCATGATTGTTCTGTAGGAACCGAAGGAGAAATTTCTTAGGGGTGAGACCATTTGATTGGATCACCTTACAAATATTGAGCAGCTTTGTGTGTTCTGGAATTTTAGGTGAATTTGGCCGCCCGGACATGTTCTGAATTCTGTCGGTCAAGTAGCTCATTTTTCCTTGTTGCAAGTGGGGCTTCAATCTAGAGGCTAAGACTTTGGACTCAAGGAGGAGTGGCGGTGCCAGGTGGCAGGTTATGGGAACGAGTGCCACATACCAGAAGGTTTAACCTTGCAAATGGATAAACACAAAGGATCCACAAGAAAATTGTTCTTGTGGATCCAGGTTAATCCTGGTGGATCCTTTTTCAAAAAAAGTAATTTTATCAAATTTTAAAAAAAAAAATTAAAAATCTCTGCTAGGTGATGAGAGAAATCTGACTCGGCCAAACTGGAGAGAACATGCTAAGGATTGAGAAAACGGTTTGGCGGCCTGTGTGATTGGCTGGGGTAGGAGCTATCAAAAAATTAAAAAGCTGCCCAGCCAAAGTGGACTTTCTGCTCCCGCTTAATTTTTGAGTTCCCCCGCAGTCCCTCCCTGCGGGAGGGGGCGCTTTGTGCCAGCGCAGTGTTACACAGCAATCCTCCCACCAGGGGGACTTGTGTTAAGTTAGGCGAATATGGGTTAAATGACCTGTAGAATCTATTTAAGCAATAACAAAACCAAGAATATAGCCTATTGTTAAGAGTGGATCATGACTTTCTGCAATTTGGTACTTGAGACACATTTGGCACACTACACCTCCCAGACCTGCCTGCCTGGCACTCTCACCACAAGAGGCTTAGTTAAGCTTGTGTGTAACTGGCTGGTGCAAAGAACCCCCTCCTGAAAAGAGGGACTTGCACACTAAAACATATTTCTTGTTTGAGCCAGAAACATGGTTTTGGTGGTTCCAACCTTGTTTGCCCCACCACTTGTTCATTACAAGTCAAATTTATTTTAGATCAAAGATATATGGTTCTGGTAGAAAACATGCAATGAAGTTCATAATTTTGAATTTTCATTTCCAGATTTGGCAGAGGCTTGAGCGCAACCTCAGTACAAGCATATTTTGTACCTGCAAATTGAGAATTTTTTTTTTCAACAAAAAAAAAGATTGGCATGGAAATACAATTAAAAAAAGAAGGGCAACAAGATGCTAGTTTGACAATCCCAGGCCCTCATCTGTTAACTTCATCAAGCTATTATTGTGCCAAGGGGTCTTGGTAATTTTGAAATTTGTTATGAGGTTTTATTCAAAATTTCAAGATCAATTTTTCTGTTATCTTGGCTACATATTCACTCTTCTAATTATCCTTCACAGACTGGTGGT